AAATTGATCTTTTTTGAAATATCGGGAGAATGGTACTATGTATTTTAGTGAAACTCGCTGTGAATTTGTTCTTATGTAAGACTCATATTTTGATGAAACAATCGAGTTCAGCCGTTTTCGACAAGTGATGAATTCTTGAGTGTCATGGTACAAAAACTACCAGAACTTTTTAGTTCGAGGATGAAATTACTTTATTATTCACAATTTTGTGCTCTTTGTAAACTCTTGTAGCATTCATAGTTTTTGCGTGTAAAAAAAATATCTGTTTTCTAGTCACTTAGCAATGCTAGACATTTACTGCAAATATGCGCCGCCTAAACGCGTACGCTTTCACGCAAATGGTCTTCGCAAAACCCTAATACTTTGACCATGTCGGTCACTTCTTCATTAGAAAACGTCCTTCGAAACGAATTTGTGAGATTGATTGACAATGATTTTATGCCTCGTATCACGACATTTTTTGTTAATAAAAGTTAGGTGAGATCGTCTTCTTTTGGTCCAAAAAATATCGCAGTACCCTTTTGATCATAAGCTTACGGGACACCCTGTTATTATTAAATAAGAGTTGGACGAGATAAGAAACATGGACATGCCCTATTAAAGCCCCATTCTCGTACGATTAGAATAAGAACACCTGCAAATAAGTTACCCAGTAATGAATCGATAACGATTTGCAGTAAAAAAAGGAGAGTATTACATTTACTACGATAGAAAACAAAACGCAAGTAATTGCCACTGCACTCTTGTAATTGATCATTGTATGATTTTTTTATAAAAGTTGGATTATTAATAACTCTATTGAATCTACATATGTCAAAATTTGTAAGCGGATAATTGATAAGTTCCAATCAGTAAGGCTTCGTTTGAAAAGCTGCAGAGAAATCCTGCACTAGTTTAAAGTAACAGGAAAAAAATGCGACAACACTGCGACGTCAGGCAAGCCTCTCTCTATCCAGCCTTGATTAATCGCAATTTCCAACGCCATTCGAACTCGGGAGTCGAAATTCGGATTCAGTTTCGGTGTAACTGTGCAACTGGAGGTCTGGGCAACGCTTCCAGACAGTTTCGCTTACGCGCGCGTTCTTAGGGGACAACAGGCTCGATTTCCAGCTTTGCGGCAGGGCGTTGCATTTTGTCGGGAAAAACATTCAATATTCACGGTAATTTTGATCCAGAAACCCCGACTAATTCGTATCCAGCTCAGCTGAATTTGCTTTGGTGGGCACATTATATTTCTTACTAATTCAGCTGTGGTCTTAATGTTATTAATTTATCTCCAATTGGATTTGTCACCCAAATATTTCATTCATTTATTTATTTTTTATTTCATTTGGAAGGTTTTCATAGCGTTTTTTTATTTGGAATGTCTGAACATTTTACAAAACAGGTTCCTGGATTTACATTTTCCGCCATAAAAAATAGTTTGCTTGCTATTGTTTAATACATTCCTGCATATTTTTGACGTCTTCCAATGTTAATTTGTTTAGTTTTTAAAGCGCCTAATTTGATGGTTCAAAACTTCTTTACTCTAAACAAAAAAGTAATTAAAGAACTTTAATACAAATAGATCTAAACTAATTACTTTTACCTTGGTTGCTGTAATTTTTCGTAGCTGCCAAATATCATCAAAATACATCACATAACGGAAATTCAACTATTTTATCAATCAACAGCGATGACACGCCCTAGGTTTTACGATTCATATGAATAAAGTTTTGAATACGATGTTTTTTGCTTTTGGAACTAAACATTTTGAAGCAATACAAAGAATGAATACAGCAACCACAAGTTTGAGCATCCTATACGTGGGATGAAAGTTACAACTGATGAAATCTAAAATATG